CCTCATCTGCACAGAGGGGTCAGATACTTTACCTGCAGGGTCCTCATCCACACAGAGGGGTCAGATACTTTACCTGCAGGGGCCTCATCCACACAGAGGGGTCAGATACTTTACCTGCAGGTCTTTGAAGTCTGGACAGGTGGCCAGCTTGGCACAAGGTAGGTATCTGAGATGTGGCATTTAAAATTCCTCCGTGCAGTGCATTGGTAGCCAGAGGAAGTGGATGTTCAGTCTTGTGGGACATGGATAACTCTGACCTTGACTTTGCTTTTGCAGAGTCTTTGGATTCGTGGCCCGGAAGCAGGGCAGCACCACAGACAATGTGTGCCACCTGTTTGCTGAGCATGATCCCGAGCAGCCTGCCAGTGCCATCGTCAACTTTGTGTCAAAGGTCATGATCGGCTCCCCAAAGAAGATTTGAAAACCCCGCTCACAGCCAGGACCTGCCGATGCCTCTGAGGCCCTGGAGACAGCAGTCGGGGGAGAGCAGACCCCTACTTTGTTCCAAACTGATAATCCTGACATTCCAGGCCTGGGAGGGGAATGAGGACCTTCCAGCTCTGCAGAAATAAGATCAAACACCCTCACCGTGGAGTTGCCTTTCCTGAAAGTGACTTCTGCTCCAGCAAACCTCTGCAGACAAATGCTTTTTGAGAAGAAGCTGAGCATGGCTGTGCCTGTCCAGGGTCCACGTGGGAACGGGGCAGGCAAGGGAACGGCACATGGCAGTCCCCATATTCCTGGCACACCAGCATTTTGGGCAATGAAGAGTGCCTAGACCTCAAAGCAAAGTGCCAAGTGACCACTGAAACTTCCCCCTTCTGCCCGCGCACTCCTGTCCAGCAGGTGCCCAAAGCCAGTGGCCTCTCTCACCTTGGTCTTCCTGAGAGAGAGATGCCAATGAAGCTGAGAAGAGGGTACACGGCTGACAAGGTTTGTGCAGGTCCAGCCCTTCTGGAACAAAGCAGGTCTCAAAGGAAGAGCCGTGGGGATGAGGGCAGTGGAAGCCTTCTGGTATCAGGGGAGGAGCATCCCATTTCAGAGACCCCACCCTGCATGCCATGACCACCCCACTCCTACCAATCATGGGTGCCCACCTGGGCCAGGGAGAGCTCATGAGGACTTCAAGAGGAAAATGAGAAGGAATCAAAGACATCATCTCTAGATAATTTATATTTTACTTATGCCGAATTATTTATGGTAACAGTTTGCCTTTGCTATACTGTACCAGTGTCAGATGCTGCAGCCTGCCACGCTGAGATCTTAGGAGGCTCATCCACGTGTGGGACACACCGCCGGCATGTGGCTGCAGAAGGCATCCTGGCTGTGGGGGCGATGGTGTTAAGTCCCCTGCTGCAGAGCCACCCACATGGGCTGTGCCTCAAGCAGCTGGCCCCTATGCTGCGACACCATGTGCTGTTCATTCCCTGGTTGTCGATGGCTTCCCTGACCATGGGGAAAGTCCAGGAGGGATGGGAAGTGCCTGGGTTCACACCCACAGCCCCTGCCTCGGCTTGTTCCAGGCCATCTGCAGGCCCCACAGAGCACACGCTGAAGCACTGCCGGTCTGTGCCCGCTCTCAGCACGCTGCTCCTTGACACCACTGGGTCTCTGGGGGTGGGGGATCCAGGTGGTGTGATGTTAGTGAGCAGGAGGATCCAGGTGGTGTGATGTTAGTGAGCAGGAGGCAGGCAAGGAGACAGAAGAGGGACCCTGACACAGATGCACTGTTCTTTTGAGTGCCACTGTTCTGCATCATTTTAGCCACCAAATTGAGTGTGTATTTCATGTTTATGTGACATTCCAATGGCATGGTTTTCCACCTGACTCTGTTCGTGGTCTGAGGTTTGGGAGAATGCAGTGACCCTAGAACTTCCCAGAGTGAGAGGTGAGGCTGGGCCATGTCAGGACAGAGCCTGGACCTCCTTCCCTCACAGCCCCAGGAGCTCTGAGGGCACCCTGCCTCTCCCGAGTGTGCCACCCTGAGGTCCCCACTCGCCTCTGCTTTCCGAAGTCGAGTCTCAGCTGCTTCAGCCACCTCCGTGTTGCAGGCTACGGTCACCACCCTGAACTTTCGAAACGTGCTTTGTGAACTTTCTATTTTAAGGTAAGGGGCAGAGGAAGCCTTAGCAACAAGCAGAGCTGGGCCTAGCCAGATCACAGTGGCGTGCATGCGTATTTAGTGTGAAGGCAGGTGGACCGTTGTGCGTATGTGTACGTGTGTGTCTGAGTGGAAAGGCAGGGGAGCCATTGTGTGTTTATGTGTTTGAGTGTGAAGTCAGGTGGTGCGATTGTGTGTATGTGCGTGTGCATCTGAGTGTGAAGGCAGGTGGTCCGTTTGTGTGTGTGTATGTGCGTGTGCATCTGAGTGTGAAGGCAGGTGGTCCGTTTGTGTGTGTGCGTCTGAGTGTGAAGTCAGGTGGTCCCTGTGTGTGTGTGCGTGTGCGTCTGAGTGTGAAGGCAGGTGGTCTGTTTGTGTGTGTGTGTGTGTGTGCGTCTGAGTGTGAAGGCAGGTGGACCATTCCACTATTTAGCTCCTATCGATGCACCAGACATAAGTGCCTCATTTCCGTGCCAAATGTTTGCCTGGGTCTTTGCCGACCTCCTTCCCTGCAGCGCAGTGGCCAGCTACTAGAATGTGCTGGTGGCATTCCATAGAGGCCCCAGTGTCTTTAGCAGAGGCTTCCAGCATTTCAGTTTTTCATCCACTGCAGGAAAACAGCTGAGGGGAGCAGAAGTCTGTGCTTCCTGAAGAAGTGCCTCATCCCAAGATAGTTGGGCCCAAAGGGCGCAGGCTGGGTCTTACCCTTCTGAAGAAGGGCGGGGGGGGGGGGCTTGTTTAGAAGTCAGAGCAAGATCACGCGCAGTATCAAGAAGCGCAGCCTGCCCAGTGAATCGCAGGCATCAGGCGCCCCACAGCCCACAGCAGTCTTGCGAGCATTCAAGAAGCCACAACTTCCTTTGGAACTGACTGACCAGGTGTGAGTTTTACTCCAGGTGAAAGTGGTCAAGGGCATCGGGGAGTTTGTCCTGAGCAGATAGCTCCCTCTGAGGAACCAAAGGAAGCAAGAGTCCAGGTTCTGAAGAGCCGGTACGACAGGTTTCTTTCTTCCTTGTATGTTACGTGTGCATTAAACAGAACAAGACAAGTCTGCATCGTCACGGACAGTAGGCAGGCTCAGGACCTAGCGAGCCCTGCAGCCGGTGCTGGCTCAGGGACGTGTGGGAGAAGGAATGTTTCCCAGGCATTTGCCTCTGGGGCTCCATAGGGGCAGCCGCAGGCTGTCCGTGGAGTACATGCAGCAAGTTCACAGCAACTGTGCCCAACGTATAGTATAGCCGGGGTCCACTAACCCACTCAGTAAGCGTATTGTTGTATTCCTCCAGTGTTAAGCTATAACCACGTTCAAAGTCACACTGCATTTATCCTCTGCATCAAAGACCTTGTAATGTCTTCTTATCTACCTTACTTGTTAGTGCATATTTTTACTTTTCTGATATTGTAAAAAATATATCCGGTATGTAAATGAATGTTCTATAAATCCTTTGTATAGTCATTTTCTCCGCTGTTTAAATATCATCTCTATTCAGAGTATAATAAAATTATGAACTTGGTAAGCCATTTGTGTGCCCTGAAGTGGGTTGTGTGTGTGTGTGTGTACACATGTGTGTTTGTATTTGCACGTACAGGTTGATAATGTACATGCTATGTTTGCGTGCCCATGTATGTGTATCTTTGTGCACATTTGTGTGTCTGTGTCTCTGTGAATGCATGAGTGTGCATGCATCCGTGGGTGCTCACACATGTCTATGTGCCTATGTGCTCATGGATCAGTGCATCCAGTTGTAAATTCACATGTTTTGCTTTCTGGAATGCATTAGATTTCTGCCCAGAAGCCTTTTAGAAATTACTCTCAAATATTTTAAAAATTAATTACAAAGCATAGTACTGGTATATTTTTAATATTGCTATAAATACCTCTGCACACTGGCTATAGGAGGAGACCCCGGGGGTGGACCAACCCTGATTGGACCTCCCCCTTTCTACTTGGGTGGGTCCTAAACCTGAATATTGAGTCTTGTTGGGTTAACTGACACTTCAGCAACTGCTGAAGACAGCCCTGCAGTGCCACCTTCCCGGCTTTCAGGCAGAGTTCATCCTCTCCCACTTTTATTCCCCCCCCACCCCAGTCAAGACTCACCTTCCCTCCCTCCCTCCCTGGGGGGGCTTGCTACTTTCTGCTGCCTTTCTGCCCTCTGAGGGGTGTCTCCCCCAGAGGTGAGGCACAGCTGCTACCTTGTTCTCCTAGCTCCAAAACAAAAGAGCAATGTTTGGGGCTCATTCAATCATGGCCAGATCATAAAGATTTTAAATAGCTGCCTTCCTCCAGCACCAAGTTTCTTCTCTGTAGCCCCTGGAGGCTTTAACCTTCCACTCTGATGAGACACAGAGGAGACCATTTTTCACCCCAAGTGTGTTGGGAAGGTGGATTGAAACTGTTGAGGTGCTAGTGCCTCAGAGCAGAAGGGAGAGTGGGCAGAGGCAGGTTAAATCTTTTCTTAAAGGAAGTTCCTGATGTGCACTTGAAGCAAATCATTGCTCAGGTTCTTGACCAGTGTCAAAAGTTGGAAAGACGGGCAGGGCATTGATTTCACAGAGGTTACAGACTGTCATTTCCAAGATTATGCTTGGCATTTGTCACAATTGCTGGCCCATAGGGCATGCACATATCCCTATGTCCCTGGCCAGAGATATCCCAGGGGACTGTCACAGAGACCCAGTATCCGCAAGGCCTCCAGTGAACAAATCCCGGCTACATGCTGTTGCAAGGTGTCACGTGTTCCCCATTTGTCTCAGCATTGCTGCATAATGGGTCCCTGTACCCCACCTGCTGGGTCATCCATCTAATATGTGGTGGGCACCTCGGCCCACCTACTTGGGGTTATTGATTTATTTTGTAATGGGCACCTTGGACTGGCCCACTGGGAGACATCAGGTCTGTACCTTATTAGTGCTTGCGTGCCTTGTCTTAGAGATTTGCATTAACCACTAGTGAGGTGGGATGAGCTGCTCAATGACCTTGAAAGATCACACTTAACAGAGAAGGAGCAGTTGAGCCAGTCTTAGGGTGTGAATTGGAGTTTTTAGATGGACTTGGGGCCTAAGGCAATATCAGGAAGGGATATTTTATGACATAGGGATTGGCCATTTCTGGACACACCCTGCTTCTGGAGTGAATCATAAATGGCCTTAAAGTGCCTAAAAAATCAGGCCACAGTGTAAAGCTTAGCTAAAGACAATACAGGTGTAGGGGTGAGCTCAACAAGAGCCTGTCACCAGCCCAGGTGACCAGGAGGGAGGGCAGAAATAGGGATTCCTCCACAATAATTGATATGGCCCAGGAAGCCTCTGTGTCCCCTTGAATCTGGGAGACTTCCATCCCATATTAGGAAGTCTGGGGTGACTGTGGGAACCAGAGCAGGATCCCACTGCAACCAGCACCCAGCCCCATCTGGAAAGCATGCCATCTCCCACAGGCAGGGAGGGCCTGCCACAACCAATGCTGTGCCAGGGAAACCTCTGCATCTCTGTGGTCCTGAACTTCCCTCTTCTTCCCCCACTGTGGGACACAGCTTCTCTCCCTCAGTTAGCATCAGCAGGGATCAGTGGGAGCCCCAGAAGCACCAGATAAACCATGAAGACCTAAGTAGCACTGAAAGGTCCTGATGAGCAGACTGTCACTGGGACCATGGCCTACAAAGCAAACCAGGACTGTTCACTAAACATAAAAGACAACTACCTACTAAAATAAAAGATTTAAACAGGGCCCAGATCTTCCTAATAGCTAAAACATCTCAGATACAATAGAAAATCACCTGCTGTACGAAGGCCCAAGAAATCTGCAGCATGAATAAGAAAGATAACTGATGACGACCCAAGGAGAATCAGATGTTAGAATTATCTGGCAAGGATTTTAAAGCATACATCCTAAAAATGCTACCATAAATTAAATTTTCATGGAGGGGACAAAAAATAGAAATATCACAGTAAATAAATAAAAGTTATGATGAATAACCAAATGGAAATCACAGAACTAAAAATTAGAATAACGGAATTAAAAAGTTTATTAGATAGTTTTCAGTAGTAAGGAGGACAGAGGATAGAATCAATGAACTTTATGACCACTCAATAGAATTCACTCACTCTGAATAGAAAAAAAATAGACTTTTTTTTTTATTGAATGGCAACTATGTACATTAATGCACTTCTAGGGTACAGTGTGGGGTTTTCACATGCAATCCAAAATACTTCCATCAAACTGGTCAACACAGCCTTCATGTCATTTTCTCAGTTATTGTTTTAAAACATTCACATTCTACTCTTAGATTCACTTGTACCCCTGTAAGATAAACCTCAGAAGTGATCCCTCCAATCCCTCTCCCTCCACCCATTCCCCTCCCTTCTCCCTCCAACTTTTTTTTTTTTTTTTGAGACAGAGTCTCACTTTGTCGCCCTTGGTAGAGTGCTGTGGTATCACAGCTCACAGCAATCTCCTACTCCTGGGCTTAGGCAATTCTCTTGCCTCAGCCTCCCAAGTAGCTGGGACTACAGGTGTCCGCCACAATGCCCAGCTATTTTTTGTTGTGGTTTGGCCAGACCCGGGTTTGAACCCGCCACCCTTGGTATATGGGGCTAGCATCCTACCCACTGAGCCACAGGTGCCGCCCAAGAAAATAGACTTAAAAAATAAAAGAACAGCCACAGGGACCTATAGGACAATAACAAAAGGTGTAACATTGGTATTATTAGTGTACCTTAAGGAGAGGATAAAAGGATATTTGAAGAATGTTTGAAACTAAATATTTGAAGAAATAATTGCTTAAAATATCCCCAATTTAGCAAAAGTTAGGCCTATCAATAAAAGCCAAATGAACTCCGGGTGGCACCTGTGGCTCAGTGAGAAGGGCACTGGCCCCATATACCAAGGGTGGTGGGTTCAAACCCGGCCCTGGCCAAACTGCAACAAAAAATAGCTGGGTGTTGTGGTGGGCACCTGTGGTCCCAGCTAATTGGGAGGCTGAGGCAAGAGAATTGCCTAAGCCCAGGAGGTGGAGGTTGCTGTGAGCTGTGACGCTACAGCATTCTACGAGGGTGACAATGTGAAACTCTGTCTCTAAAAAAAAAAAAAAAAACTCCAAACAGGATGAACAACGACAAAGAAAGTCCATCCCAAGAAATAACTACAAGCAGACTTCTGAAATCTACAGATGAAGAAAGCTGTGAGGGCAACAAGACAGAAATGATGGCCTATGTACAGAAGCACAGCCATCTGAATGACAGTGCGTTTCTCCCACTCGTCAGGGAATGATGGCCTATGTACAGAAGCACAGCCGTCTGAATGACAGTGCGTTTCTCCCACTCGTCAGGGAATGATGGCCTATGTACAGAAGCACAGCCGTCTGAATGACAGTGTGTTTCTCCCACTCATCAGGGGAGCCAGAAGGAAATGACAAATTTTTCAAGGGCTAGAAAAAGTGAAACATCAACCATGAATTTTAGAGTCAATGAAATTATCCCTTGGGAATGAGTGGTAATAAAGACATTATCAGATGAAGGAAACTGAAATAATAACTTGTTATTAAGCCTACATATAAAGATGGACAAAAGAAGTCATTCAAACAGAAAGAAAATGGGAGAAAAAGATTCTTGGGGCATCAGGAGAGAAGAAAAAACAACGGGAAGAGGAGCATGTGGGTAATACAACAGATTCTCCTCTTCCTCACAGGTTTTATAAATCACATTTGGTAACTGAAACAACAATTTCACAACACTATTTGATACTTAAGACAACGAAATTAAAAAGTGGGTAAAGGACCCTAAACAGAGGTGAGATTTCCTCATTTCGACTCAAATAATACAATGTCAATGGACAATGATAAGTTACATATTTTATTGTCATAAACAGGGCAACCATTGCAAAAACCGTACAAAAGATATATTCAATAGTAATGAGTAAATCAAGGTGAAATATTTAAAAATATTCTAGTTACTCACAGGAAGACAGGTAGAAACAGAAAAGCAAAAATGAGTAAGTAAAGAAAACTCAAAAAATAAAATGTCAGATTTTTAGCCCTAACTTACTAATAATTGCCTAATTGTAAGTAGTTAAACTGTATTATTCAAAACATAGATGGTGGGGAGGGGGTTTGGTCCAATTATATGCTGTTTACAAGAAACTTAAAATTCAGTGACAAGGTTAAAAATAAAATGATGTAAAGTTACATCATGCAAACGCTAATCAAAAAAGCAGGAGTCAGTGGCAATAGTGGGCATCCTGGTCTAGTTCCAGTTCTGAGTGGAACAGGAATGTTTTTAGTTTTACTACATTCAGTATGATATTGGATGTGAGTGTGTTATAGATGGGCTCTATCAGTCCCAGCCATTGTAATCAGGCAAGAGGAGATCCATGCTACTCAAACGGGGACAGATGAGGTCAAACTCTTGCTCTTTGTCAATGACATGACCTTATACCTGGAATATCCCAGGGACTCAACTACAAAGCTCTTAGAAGTGATCAAGAAATACATTAGCATCTTGGAATGCCAAAGCAATGCCC